CTCTGATCGCGAGCTTATCCCTTTCCGTTCATCTCTAATATCCAGATATGTCATGACAAAGAAAACCAATAAAAAATATATAAAATAACAATAAAAACATCAGCTTGGTAGAAATGAGTTGGATACACGTGTAGATAGAGACAATTTTAGAGCGGTTAACTGCTGAAAACCTCAAATTTTACTAGTCCTACATACAATCACATTCTTGGACTATGACTACGACGTTCATCCAAACCCTGCATTTCGATAAGTAAAGGTTAATAACAAGAGTAAACTATAATTTTAGTCCTGTATGTTTCACTACTTTAACTTTTTCGTCCTCTTCGAATTGCGTTTCTGATTTTCGTCCTGTATGTTTGAAAAAAGGTTACACAAAGGTCCTTTTCATACATAAGGGACGAAATTGGAACACTTTTTTGCAAAACATAAAGGACCTTTTTGTTGCGCAAAGGACCTTTTTGTAACTCTTTTTCAAACATACGGGACAAAAATCAAAACACAATTCGAAGAGGACGAAAAAGTTAAAATAGTGAAACAATCAGGACTAAAATTGTAATTTACTCTAATAACAATTTCATAATTTCTATAGCATCACAAGCATTACCATGGAATAATTGTTACCCTTCTCTCCATTCTGATGCTTGTCTGACTGGAAATGCCAAATTGAGCCTCCACACTACTTGGATCAAACGAAAACAACAAATCCTGTTTCATATAGGTTAGCATATGGAAAGTTTAATACTATCTTGGTAAAATGAAGTTAAGTTCGTGAATTCTTTTACCTGGAAGCTTAAGTCATTTCCAGAATATTGATTAGATGTAGGAAAAGCATTTGGTTGTTCATTCACATGGCTAGAGTTTGCATATTCACAACTGTGATATCCCCTCCTTGAACTGGCATGAAAAGAAGATTGATCTTGGTTATTGTCCTTGCCTGAAGTGTCAAAATCCAATGAATCTGTCATCTTCTCGGGATTTCATCTTGGAGCATGTTGTTTTATTGTGTCCAAGAAGCCTAAATAAACATTTTAAAAATTTAAAGAACATGTTAGCGAAGGTTACATGATGTTTCACAATGTGTGTAAGGTCTGATAATAGATTTAAATAATAATAATAAGTGACTTTTAAGTATAGGTGAATATGAGAAAATACCTGCATTTTCTGCACCTTCTTGGTCTTTGTTTGGAATGTAAACCACTTGATCCTTTAGTTTTTGTAATTATTGGATCACGCACACCAAACTGATGCTTTTCATTTTTCTTTGAAGCATCGGTTTCATTGTCAGAAGGACAGGAGTTAGGCATAAATTTCATGCATTCTATTTGTCACCCGAGCGATTGTGTCACATAATTCACCATATCCTTCATCGCATAATGAGGCATAGTAACACATCTTGTTACAAAGGGAAATCAAAGAACCATAGCGTGCATTTTGAGTGACATCTTTACAAATTTCTGGTTCTTTTTTGTTGAGTTCGTTTTCCTTAGCATCCCGAGTCCACCTCTTCATTACACAAGTTGAAGGAATCTCTTTTATATGTTCGGCCTTCATCACTGCAAACATATGAGCACAAGGCTACCCAACCGTCTCGAATTGCAAGCAAGAGCACTCAAATAAACAGGAATCTTTATCAAATTTTACGGTAAGTGTAAGATCAGGCTTTGAATACTCATATACAGAGTACATCTTGGTTGAACCAAATTCATGCTCAATTTTGCTCAATAATACAGCTTCCTTTTTTAGTTCTTCACGAACAATAAAGAACATATTTCTGGTCAAAGAATCTGCCACATGTTTCTCGATATTTTTCAAATGAGTACTAAGTACAGGAGAGCTATTTAGTGATTTAGTGTTACAGCATTTGCCTTCGCTTCCATATACCTTAGCCTTGCCAAAGCCAAATCAAATGATCTAACAAATTCATATAACCTCATTTTAAGATTCACATGCTTCTTAAAATATGCATTCATACCTTCACACCGCTGAGTGCATTTCATATTTCCGAAAAAATGTCCCCTTAAGTATGCTTCTGCCCACTTTGAACGTTTTGAATACGTCTCGTTTACCCATGAGTTATTTTCAACTTGTTGCTTTTGGATACAATCCTTCCAGCTCCTTTCAAATTCTTCTTTGCTGCAAATTTTATCCATACATTTGTAGAAGGCTTAACAAAAGCACGTGGAATGTACATTTACAGTCGCATTCCGTTGAAGGTGCCAGCTACACAATCTATGCCTCGCCTCTGGAAGAACAGTCTCTATTGCTAGTCTCATAGCATTATCCCCATCTGTGATAACTGAAATAGGTTTTTTACCTCCCGTTGCAGCTACAAAGGTCTCTAAGACCCAAACGTATGTCTCTTAAGTTTCATCTTACAACAGTGCAGCCCCAAAAATTGTAGTCATGTAATGGTTATTTACACCGGCTAATATGACCAGAGGTTTCCGATAAGAATTAGTCCTGTAGGTCGTATCAAACACCAACACGTCTCCAAAATATTGGTAATTTGACTGGCACCTAAATTCAGCCCATATCAAACGACGTAATCGATTGCTTTCGTCAACATCAAACTTGAAGAAAAATGATAGATCTGAATCTTTTTTTGCACTGAAATAAGCCAAAGCACCTTCCGCATCCCCATCTCGTATGTCTGCTTTTCGTTTGGCGTAGACAGAGTTATACAAATCTTTCAAGGTAAAGCCAATTTTGTGGTATCCACCCGCTCGATGTGCAAAAAAATTCATTATCTCACTCGTACGCCAACCGACTTCATGCATGGAAATCGCTTCTATAAGATCAGACTCCTTCACCGATCGATGGGAGAACAAAAATGATACGCCCTCCTCAGTCATGAGTTCATGGTTGTGTTTCTTTATAAATTCAGTGACAACAAACTTCTTTAGCCTCTTGTTGTACTTGACACGAAATACTGCTGGGCAACCAAATCTAGTCAGGGGCTGTGTTCTCTTGATTTATCTTCCTTTTCTAACCACTTTTTATCACGGAACCCTTCCTTAGAACAAACCCATTTACGCATGTCAATCATACCCGAGCTTTTGTTGCGTCGTACATCATCCTTTCTGATTGAAAATCCCGTACATTTGGCATAAAAATTGTAAAAATCCCCAGCTTCCTCCTCAGATTCAAACATTTTTTCTTTTATATGATTTCCATCTACGTCAAGATCATCAATCCATTCTGGCTTATACCGAAAATGTTGTTTG